GCTCCATTACTGACCTGTATCAATTCTGAACGGATCTAAAAATGAAACAACATAACAATACCTGAGAAGATGGTATGGGCAGCATATCTTGTGCATAAAGAGGCATGTTCAGCTGATCTGTGTGAAGGCATACGATCTCTCCAACGAACTAGATGGAAGGAGCTTTTTGGATCACCCAGAACAGTGCTGGTCACAATTTAGTAATAACAAAGGAATTACTTATCCTTTCTGAGGATCAGGACTTCCTAGAAACTCCAAAAGGAAGCAATCTGCAAATAGAGATACTTTCCCTTTGGCAGCCAGCCCTTAAATGACTTAAGGGAAAGGTGGACTTTGGGTCCACACAGGTGGTCACAAAGTGAATTGCTTACACCTGTGCTCCCAAGGCTGGTCACACCCTTTCACCAGGTGTTTAATCACTGGTTCAGGATTTGAGCTAACAGTTCCCATACAGAACTCATTTACTTTAAAAGTAGAATCTGTTTGTAAGAAAAAAGAATTAGCAAGCTTAGAACCACTAGAAAATAATTTCAGAAAAATAGAATTTCTCTCTCTAATCGCTATCAACCCAATGCAATAAAGACAAAGCCCAGAAAGCTGTTTACATATAAAAATTTTTGTACAACAGAAAGATGAGAGATTGCTCTGTGGGGTTTGTGAGGATCTTAAGCCCAGCTGTCCCTTTCTCAAAAATTTATCAAGGCATTCATCAAAACACAGAAACCTTTTTTTCCAAAAACATCCTGTTCTACAATTACTGAACTGCTCTAGAAGTTTGTCATGTTATAGTTCATTAAACATGGCTGGATTTTGTTGTACTATTATTTCAGAACAGTGGCTGCATATATCTTATTGTTCACATACATGCGAGGATTTGATATTATAAAACCTTTAAAATGGCCACCCATTTTATCCAACACCAAAATCTCACCTTTTTCTTATTACTTGATAAATGTTTTCAGACGCATTCAAAATGTTCATAAAGAGTTAACTGTGACATAGTATTACAAGATGTTATTTTGTGCAAACCACCAAATCTGCACTTGGTCCCAAAAATAAAAAGCTTCTCTCAGGTTTATTTTCACTCAGTGGAGTCACTCTGTTTTACAGTCAACATACTAGGGACAGATTTCATTCAGCATTTTAAAAAGTTTGTGTAGGTCTGTGCATTATTATGAAAAGAACTATAAATACATATTAAAAAGAAAAAAAAAAAAAAGGATTCTTTATCCATTAAGTGTCTCACAGGATTCCAGGCCACCTCCTCACACATGTGTAAGTGAAGGCTGAAAAACTAACAAAAACAAGGACTGATTTTATCTCAAGGTTATGGAAACACCATTAGACCATAAAACCATGGTGTCAAAAATTTATCTTGACGTTTGAAAGAGTCTCAGTGGAGTTAAAAGCTTATCATGTAATTAACTGTAGATAAGTCTGTTTAATACTGAGGATCAGAATTTAAAAACAGCCACAACCTTGATGAACAGCACATTAAATACACTGGAGCTTCCAAAGAGTGATCAGATAGCAAGAAAGGAAAAAAAAAATCCATCTCCAACGACAAGTTGATATAAGAGCAAATTGTCTAGTGAGGACAGTGCAAAGCTCTAAAAAGGAAAGGTACATTACCCTTCTGAAACACATTCCCATCCAGTTCACTTGATATTTTCCACACAAACTAAAAATACACTGGGCTGAAATTCTGTCCCCCCTTAAAGCAATAGCAGAATTTTCTTTGATTTTTCACAAGATTGCACTCAAAGGGACTCAGCCTACTGAACATCACAAGAAAGTAAATAAAACTACAATTAATTTTCCACAAAGACAATAGCAATGGACAGCAGAAACTGAGGACTCTTTAAAAGAGGTTCCAAAAACTCCTTTGACCTAAATCAGGTTGGAGAGCTTCCAATAACTATCTGGAATTTTGTCATCTCACTGCAGGACGGATTTTCTCTCATCTTGATGTCTGTTTATTTTCTTTCTTGAGGATCCAGCACCAAACAGAATAAAAATGACCTCTGATGAGGGTTATTTTGTGGCACGCAATGAAAAAAGTAATCCAAAAAAGTTCAGTGATAGAATAGGCACCTACTGAACTTGAAAGGAATGTTGGAAGAGGTTGGGAAAACAAGATTACATCTTGAAATCATGTATATGTAGTATTTCTTTATTCTACGACCACACAGAGTGGTCATCACAGCTGGTCTTTTTTGAGAGTTACACTACAGAGAAGAGACCACATCAGACTTTTATCAGAGACCTTACAATTCCAAACCCTATTTAGCTTGGGGGCTAAAAGGAGGGGGGGAATAAAGAAGGAAAAAAAGAGGATTTTTTCAACTGACACTCGGCTTATCTCCCAAGAAACACTCTATAGAAGTGGGATAAATATAATGCAACACTCATCGGACAATCAAATTGGGACAGTGTAAATTACCACACTGACAATTAGTCAGTGACATCAGAGGTCTCCAAAGGCATTGTGCCTAACGGGAATTCAAGAAAGATGCTTGCTTTACTTGCACGTATAGAATATTTAGTCAACATCTTCCTCCCAAGAAATTCACTTGTTTGAGTCAGGTTCTTCCCTTCCATTTGCCACTTTTTTTTTTCTTTTTTCTTTTTTTTTAATTAGCAATATGAAGTAACTGTGGCATAGTAAGTCTGTGTCATTTGCCCTACCTTTTTCCTTTTTTAGGGAAAATTGTCACACAGGCTAACTGTTAAATGAGCAAAGGGAGAAGGAAAGAAAAGGATTTCAATCACTTGATCACCTCTGAATTTAAAGAATTTAAAAAGTAAGAAGCAACAAGTTGAAAACTTGGTACTTCACAGTGCATTCAATAAGTTCTAGTGAAAATACACTGAGTTAAAAACATCTTTGTTTTCACATAATGGGGCAAATGTTGTCTACATTAACTAACCATTCTTCATTTGGAAGAATGGGATTTGGAGCTATGAAGTCCTACCTTTCATTCTGCCCTTGATCCTCTCTTGCATCACTTGAGTAAAATACATGGGAGGGAAGAGGATGTGCACACAGGCAGATGCTTGTGCATACATGCACATCAAAAATTTAAAATCTTACATATTTTTTCCACCAGTGCTCCAACATACTGAGCAATCCTCACATTGCTTCTATAAAGTCACCACATTATCCAAATTCAAATGTCTCTCCTGTGGTTGAGAATGTGTGTGAAGTTGTGAGCTAATAGTTCATTAAAAGGAAGAGCTATAAAACTTTCTCCCCCCTTTGTGCAGCCCTGTCTCTTCTCTGCATTTGTCAGAAACAGTTTTGCTGAGTTTGCTTTGTCCCAGAGAACAAATCTGCAATTTCTTTTGATGGGAAATATTCTTGTAGTTGGGCTGGTGCAGAGATTAAGTGTGGGGAGAGGTCCAGAGCCAGAACACAGGCAAAAAACTCACAGGTGGTTTGAGGGAAAGTGCAGAATTCATACTGTCTTCCTACTTATCTTGTTTGGCTCACTTCAATCTAACAATTTCACTGAGAAAAAATGAATTTCTATCAATTTCTAAGCAAAAAGAGCTGAAATTACCACCACTTATCACAGGTCATAACAATGTGTTTAATATCTTCATGAGAGTCTACCAAAGCATCACTCATTGTATTTCATCTCATACGTTCAATAACAATCTAAAAGAAATCAATGAAAGAGCCATGGCCAGTATCTTAAGCTTATTGTTAAATGGAGGGCAACAACATCTGTAAACAAATTCTTACAAGTTATAATTCAGCTTGAACCACTTAAGCAATGATCATTATCTGATATCCAGCCTTATCTTCATCTGTACAAATACTCTAAACCAGTTAACACACAGCACACATTCCATATGAAATTCATCTGGCAAATCAGGTATGCCAAACTAAGACAGTAAAAGAGTCTGACTAGAGACTAGTTCTTGCATGTTTTTTTTTCCCCTGTAAGTATAGTTCAGCCTGCGCATTTTTTCAAGGAAAATTGAAACCTTAAATCACAGCAGTCCAATCACTAACAAAAATTCCAGATAAACAATATTGTTGACTGTATTACACCTATTTACCCACAGCAAAAGCAGATTCCACTAGTGTGCAAACAGATTTAAAAAAACTGCATTTCTTAATTTCAGTAAAGAGGCTTTCTTATTTGAACTAGAAGTAAAACATGAAGAGAGTTTGATTCTTTCATAACAAAACACTAAGTAAAACTACTGAAGTGTGCATGAGTTAAATCTTATGCTAGAATTCAACAATAAGAAATTTTTAAAAATTACTCGAGTTAAAACTGAGCATTCTCCATATGACATACTTCTATTTGTACTGCTCAAGTTAAATTTTCTAAAGTGAAAACAATAAGGGAAAAACAACTACATTTATTTAGTAATGAAACAAACATTTTGCTTACTGTGCAAATGAATTTCAAATACTTTATCATGTAGCATTTTAGAGCAGATGATCGACATGGCCCATATCCCATGTGGGATACACCATTGCCATGAACACCCATTAGCACATATTACTAAATGACAAAACTGACTGAAGCCTATCCAGAAACAAAAGACGAAGGATTCCGCAGAAAATTGTAGAACAATGAGTGATGCTATATGCTCTCCATTACCATTAGAAAAATTACATAGGTTGATTTATTCAATTGTGTGGGGTTTTTTTTGTTTGTTTGTTTGTTTGTTTGTTTGTTTTTAAGTTTTTCAGTTCAATGTGCTTGTTGGTTCTTTTTCCCCAAGTACATTAACATGATAATTTGAAAAGTGAAAAGAAAAAAAACCCACTGGATGCTACTTTCACTTTTAAGTGTTATAATTATATAAACCTATGCTTTTTCATAAATAGTGACTAAAAAGAAAAAAACAGTTTGATTTTGCTGGGTTAAATATCACATTCTGCGGATTCATCCGCTGAACTCCTGCTCAAAAATAAATCAAGAACAAAAAGAAAGGATAATTTATGAGTTGTCAAGTAATCACATGTTAATACTTACTTTTGTGAAGATCTGAAAAAAGTCAATTGCAGGTGGCAAGTGAGATGCATCCTGGATCTCTGCTCTCAGATAAAGTTGCAAGGTATGTGCAAGGTGCCTGAGGCCCTCTTTCATTTCTTCACTTAGTTGTTCAGCATCTTAAAGGGAAAAGTATACCAAGGTGTAAACAGAATCTTTCACCAACATCTTGAAAATGTACAATGGCAGTTGTACAGTCTAGACATTTCCAGTTTTAGAATTAATCTTGGCAGAGGGCAATTTTGACAGGGGCAAACATTTATCTTTTTTGTTGTTTTTTTTCCTGACAACTATCTATCAACGCAAAGAAGAGTTTATCGCTTTGCTACTACCAAGTGATATAAAGAAAATGGTGAGTTAAACATCAAAAGCCAATAGATAAAGCAGATGCATAAACAGACATAAGTCATTAGTTACAAAAAATAGGCATCTAGGTTTGTAACATATTCTTCATAGATGCATCAGAAACACTTTTATTCTGACAGACAAGAAATATTTTAGAGACAGAGGGAGTTTTGTACACAGCAGCTGCTAATCAGAATGGATAAGAAGGAATATTAAGCAAATATCACTCCTATATTAAATAATAAAGTACCATTATTCATGCTTTGCGATATGAATCCTGAAAGAAATACAGCAATGTGTTTTCTAATGAAGAGATCACCCATGAATCAGGTCAGTGATAACACGGAAAGTGGAACTCAGCTACCTGATAAGTTCAGTGTCATCTTACTAACTTGTTCACATTTCTCTTTTCCTGCCAGTTAGCACAAAGCAAATGCCTAAATGGAGAATGTGAAGATGGACAGGTTCAAGAATCAGCCATAACAAAAGGCTAAGAGGATAATTGTGCACTATGAATTAACTTCATCTCTGCACAATAGTGAATTGTTATTACATTTTAAACATTTATCTTTATTGAGAACAGAAATAACCTTTCACTAAGAAAAGTTCTTCCCCATACTTTAGATCCAAGACTGCTGATCTCGTGGGGAGGATTTAGGATTCTCTTTAAAGCTACTTCTTATGACTCTCTTAACAAGAGGATGCAGTTAAAGCAGATGCCACTGGGTTTGATTAAACAGCCAGCTAATGTTACAGTTCTCAGGCTTCTGTTCTATCACATCCAGCATCCCTGAACTTGAAGGTTCAGGCTGTTCTGTAGATACAAATCCAAGCAATGCACAGTTTCTTCACATACGGCCTTCTTCATGTTTTGCCTGCTCCCAGAGCAGTCATGCAGTCCTTGAAGATGCTTCTTACAGCAGGGTCACTGCAAAGACCTGTAGCAAACATCTTAATGTACACAGCAACTTTACGAAAAGTTTTGAAGGCACTTGTCTGGTACAGTGAAGGTACTGAGAAGCAGTTACTGCAAGAAGTTCAGCCTCAAGTGCACCACAGTTCTGCAAGACAGCTGCTAGAGTGGGAAAGGTCAAATCTTCAAGCAAAAAGAAAAGTGGGAAAAGTTTGATAGAGACCGTTAGCACGAAATTCAGCGCTAGAGTTGGTGAAGGATGAAGGCCACGTCAGTGTGAGTGTCCTGAATCAATATTCAGATTCAGATTGCAGAATTTCAGATAAGTAAATGGTGGACACTTTTTTTTTAATGGAGCCAAGGACTCTGAATTCCACACAGAAAGCCACACTGGGAGTCAACAGTTTTATCATAGGATTCATTGGGCCATAAGCCTGGGAAACACACACAGTATCACCATCCTGGTCTGGCAAACCCACAGCTGAGGTCTCAAGCCAGAATTCAACCTCATGAGCCATGCCAGCTGAAAATAAGCAGAACTCCCAAAGCAGCACTCAGCAGATGTACCCAGCGAGAGCCACGTTTCTACATTACAACAATGATCCAAATTTATCTTGAAATGTAAAACACCAGGTGCCCTGAAGACACATTTATTCACTCTACACTGGTGTTCAGTAATTGAATTTACAAGGGCAGGCAGAATGGTGCAGTCCTCAGTAGATGACACGAGTGTCACACTTGATGCCAGAGTACAGTGAAAGTGACTATGATGGAGCTTCCACTTTATACACAACACATTAATGCGCTGCTTTCGTTATCTCCCATGAATCCCTTCTGGCAGAGCACTGTGTGCTGACTTGTTTACTAGAAAGAGCCATGGCTATCTACCAACCAGACTCCTTGCAGGGGAACGAGCTGGCAAGCAACAGCAACTGTTTCCTTCCAGTTTGGAATGGGACTTCTTACCTGAAAACTCATTTGGAGCCACTGAGGACCATTCTAGTTAGCTGAAAGATGCAATCCTACCAACACACCGTATTAGAGCATCTTCATGCTACACACTACTATTATATTTGTTTTCCATTCCAGTATGAGTTAACCCTTTCTTCAAGACCTGCTCCCATTCTAGGGCTTAGGCACCGCTATCTAAAAGCTATACCTGGGCTTAGTCAGCCATGCGCTGAGCAGGCAGGGACCCCAGATATTATGGATGGCCTAAAACTGATCTCCACCTGGGTCAGGAAGGACAGGTGAGCTCTCCCACAGCACTCAGATTCAGCTCCTCAGAAAGTCTGCGTCACTCATCCAAAGGAACACAGAGATAAAGCTCCACATTAACTGGCACAAAAACTACGTAACTGAAGGATTTGCTTTTTTTCTAACTACTTCTCTGCATCTTAACAGCGTGGACATTTGAGGGCGATCTTGCAGACCTGAATGAATGTACAAGGACAGAAATGCAGATGTATGTACTGCTCTTTCCAACACACAAAACCCCCAGTATAGAAAAGCTTGAAGACTGAGTCTTCAAGCAAAGTAGCAAGCTTTTGGATGACTGGAAAACTCAAGTTAAAAAAAAAAAAAAGTTATAAACATACACTTGTGCTTGCTGTGTAATATTCCTTTGACACTGAAGAGGCTTTTTCTTTCAAATGTGTTATTTCAAGAGAGCAGTGAGTTTTGGACTGTCTTTATGTTATTTATTTTAAGCTAACGCATGCTGCAAAATGGATTGTGATAAAGAGGCAGGCATGATCTGCTTTGCTATTAGCAAATATTAGTACCTCTAGAATAGAGAACAGTCATAATCTAATCAACACAGCTTAAATGAACACTGTAGTATAGGACAGATATGAAAAAGAATACCAAATCCAACTGGAACATCAGGGAGAATTCTGAGAGACAGGAACAGAATGCAAATTATTCAAGCTGGACTCTGTTCAGGGCATTAGAGCTAATGATCTCTACAAAAAGTCCCATGGGATCCAAACAACCAAGACCTGGTTTTCACAACTCCTCATGAAACCAAGGCAAAAGAAAACAAAGTGAAATAAAAATGCATGAATGTTTTAATTGTGTTTTTCTAAGAAAATTTTTAATGGTAAAAACTGAGGTGTGGGAGAGAAAATGCCACAAAAGGCAGATGGAAAGTTTTCTAAATCAAGCATTGGGATTTAATTACACAGCCTGACGGATCTGATACACATATGAGTAAAGTAGCAAAAAATCATCCAATTGCACCACACACAACACTTATATGCATGCTGAGTCTTGTTAAGTGTAAGCAAAGTTGATGTCTACATCATTTGAATTACCTTAACATGCAGCAAGCCAGGAAAACCATGGAAGTAACAAACTGTATGATAAACCACAACTAGTGAAAGTCACCATATACACAGACACAACTCCTACTTAATCAGATGGAACATAAAATGAATAAAAGCATACAGGTAATCCACATTGGAAATCATCCAACTATACCAAGTAATACTGAAAAAGTAATACTTTGAAGAGACTAGGACAGGGTAGTGACAATAACAACTTTTCAGACCTTTTGGACTTTGAAAGGATTACAGTGTTGAAACAATACTGTGTCATACAGACACTTCGTGAGAAGTTGTTTGCCTCAGAGGATTAAATCAAATTCTTTTCCCTATAAACTTAGAGCTTTAATGAAAAAAAATGACTTTCAAATACATTCTACCAATATTGAAGGACAGTATATCTTAAATCTTTATCAACATGATCTGTAAAATATGCAGTAAATAGGAAGAAGTGTCATGAAATAACAGCAGTAACTGTTAAAAGTATGACAGTGACTACAAGTTTTCCCATCATACCACAGCACTCTTTTGAACCATTCTAAATGAAAAACAGTAGAGACAGTTCAAATTGTATTAAATCCAAACCTCTGAATAACACTAAAAAAATTGAGATAATAAATACTTTTATGCTATTTTCTACAAAATCCCTTCAAACAAGACACAGGATTCAACCAAGGATGCATTTCCTCTTCTGTAAGTCTTCAAACTTCAAGGTACTGCAAAATCTAGAAAAAAAAAGCTTCCTATATGAATTATCAGCTTTACTGAGAGATGAATAAACCTCCTTTCCTACTCAAGCAGCTGAAACTTGTGGGAGCACAGAACTATTTTTTCTCCATTGAAAAGTCATGTTCAAAGCAAACATATATCATGTCTAACTTTTAGATGTATTTACTTTTTCTGGAAGTTATTTTGAATCTTTAAACAGTAATACTATTTAAAAAAAAATAAAACCACTAATGATTTTTTTCTGTATTGAAACGGTATGTAAAAAGGAAGATATTCAGTTAACTTTAAAAGCTGCGTCAGCAAAATGTATAGTGCAAAATGAGGAAAAATATTCAGACTAAATAAGGCGGAAATTTTGCTTGAACGATACATGGCTTTTTTAACCTGTCAATCCTTGAACATCAAATTCTTTCCCACAGAGGTTTAAACACAGTCAGTTTTGCCTTTAGTTTAGACTTTCCTGCCATGTTCTATTATTCTATGTTAGCAGACTTTCAGAAGGCAGGCTGCAGTAGGATAGCATGGCCATTCTGTAAAACAGAAAATAGAAGCATTACCTGCAATACAGCTTTTTATTATTGCAAGTAAGCAATTACTTACTTGACTGAAGATCAGAAAAAGAGTAGAGTCTCTCAGAAAGGCATGCTGATTGCCTAAGCTGTAGAGAAAAACAGATAATTAACACTTACATGGCATGTTTTATCTTGAAAACACTCTACGAAATTGATTATTCAATGTGATATGCCTGTAAGATAATTAGGTAAGGGTAACTGCATCAACATAAATCTGGTCAATCTATACTTTCTGTAAACTATCATAAAATACTACTTAATTTCTGATGTTATGACACTTTCTACTAGTATATTTTCTCGACTTTGGCAGGTTGCCCTTAGTAATTTATTGTGGCTCTTGATACTGTAATTGAAAGCAATTTATGAGGTTAGTAGTCTCAGATTTCATGAGACTATAATTAATGTACTGCATTTCTAGGTACATATTTGCCCTTTAAAAACCATCATGCACACACTGTTCCCAACAATGTATAAATTAAGATATTAAACTACATTCTATCATTCAGACCCCAACAAATGAATACATTTTTATTCAAGAAAAACAGTATCATGGCAGGGTCAGGGGAAGAAAAAAAAAAAAGGATTTATAATCTCAGCCATCAGCCTATTGATTTAACAGAAAATTTAGTCTGTGTAAATTAATCAAGCTGTGGGAATGTCAAAACCCAGGACTTTCAAGAAAAATTTAGGAAAAAAATATCTAATTGAGATTAAGAGAACCCAACATTAAAAGGATGATGTGATGCACTCTAAAGAAAGGGCTAACAGTGCATGCTTCTCTTTACCACTCATATATATTAAAAAAATAAATAAAAAACTAAAAAAAATGTTCCCTCTGAAGTTGATGGACGCACCAATAACTTTGATAATATCAAACAACAAACAGTGTGTTCTGTGCTTTCCCTCTAGGCAGAAATAAGTTTAGGATGCTATGACAGCCATAGGAATAAAAACTTCATAAACAGACCTCTTGAGCTTAATTATGTCCATTTCAGTTCCTCTTCCTTTTCACACTTTTGCAAATTAATCAGTAATATTTTAATGCAATATGCAGTCCAATTTTGTTCAGCGATTCCAGTCGCTTCAGCTCTCTAGCTTTTAATTACATTAAAAATGTAGAACGAAAAAGTATTAACCTGAAACTATTACACTGAATATATCGAAAAGTACGTCACTTACTAGCTTAAAAACAATCCTGCCAGCAAGTCTGACAGAATCTGGAGGAAAATTAGGCTTGACATTCTGAAGGCACTTGCACTCCCGCTTGTGGTCCAGCCAAGCTTCTTTCTATCAATTTAAAAATAAATAAATGGAAGAGAAAGAAAAACTTCATGTTATTATTATTATTATTATATATATAATATATACATATATACACACACACTCCTTTATACACACATTGTTTCACTGTGGAAAGAAGACAGGGAGCTCCCTACTCTCAAGACTAGAAAAGGTGCTACAATTCCCTCTGCTATCCCAGTTCTGCCAACCCACACAACACTCTAGGCAAGAGTTTACTCAGAAATCAAGAACACAGAGCCCTTTGGATTCCATCCACATCATCAAAACATAGCTGCTCTACTCTACCACAGTAATTAAGTTTCCTATGTGGCATAAACCACCCTCAAAGATCCTCCACCTTGTTGGACACTAACACCCAAAGCTGGGAGGACTAACAATAGTATCTCCAAACTGCAGAGATCAGGAGTGGTTTTCATAACCAAAATTTACCAAAACAGAGAAAGGAATCAAGATTATTATAGTTGCATGTACCTGAACCTGCAATTTTAACCAAATGAGGTTTAACAAAAGCAAGTGTAGAGTCTTGCATCTAGGGAGGAATAATTGCATGCACCAGGACAGGCTGGGGGATGACCTGCTGGAGAGGAGCTCTGTGGAGACGGTGTCCTGGTGGACGACAGGTTGGCCATGAGCCAGCAGTGTGCCCTTGTGGCCAAGAAGGCCAGTGGCATTTTGGGGTGCATTAAAAATAACGTGGCCAGGAGGTCGAGGGAGGTGATCCTCCCCCTCTACTCTGCCCTGGTAAGGCCTCATCTGGATTACTGTGCCCAGTTCTGGGCTCCCCAGTACAAAAAAAGACAGGGATCTCTTGGAAAGAGTCCAGCGGAGAGCCACAAAGATGGTGAAGGGCCTGGAGCATCTCCCCTGTGAAGAAAGGCTAAGTGAACCGAGTTTGTTTAGCCTTGAGAAAAGAAGACTGAAAGGGGACCTGATCCAGGTCTATAAATATCTAAGGTGTGGGGGGCAGAGTGGTGAGGCCAGACTCTTTTCAGCAGTATGCGGAGACAGGACAAGGGGAAATGGCCAGAAGCTGGAGCATAGGAAGTTCCGCACCAATGTGCGCAAGAACTTCTTTATGGTGAGAGTGACGGAGCACTGGAACAGGCTGCCCAGGGAGGTTGTGGAGTCTCCTTCTCTGGAGATATTCAAGACCCGCCTGGACACCTACCTGTGTGACCTGGTGTAGGGATCCTGCTTTGGCAGGGGGGTTGGACTCGATGATCTCTGGAGGTCCCTTCCAACCCCTACGATTCTGTGATTTTGTTTCATGGACCACCTGTCAGCTACACTGATAATGAGAAAAAATGCTACATCGGTGAAGAGATGGAATGAAAAGGGGAGGGAGGGAAACTCCTTGTATACTGAAATATGCCTTTTTTCCTTTATGCTTTCTTTTTTTTTTTTCCTCCAAGCTAGTATGGAAGACAGACAACAATGAATCTTCTGCAAAGAAAAACTCATGCTGGAAGACAGAGGCAATGTCTGACCACCTTTTTTTCCCCTAACTTCTGGCTTTCTAAGATCAAAATTCTGTTCATACTTTACAAAATCTCCAAGCTCATCTCATTAATACAGTACATCTTTACATTGTTAATATATACATATATTCACAGTATAGATCTGAAGACAATGAGCTATTTTTCAGACATTTTTATAAGCAAATTGAAAAAACAGAACAATAAACAGCAGTTACAGTGATAAGAACAGAGAACAACCAAGAGCTTCTGAAGGTGACTTCTCTCACAGATTAATGCAGTGAGGAAAACAAAAAATGAAACTCAAAAAAATCAGCTTCTACAAGGTAACTGCCACATAGGAAATGATAACATGTCTAATACAAAGCAATTATACATTCAGCAATAAAAAAAAAAAGAGGGAACATCTGTGATATGTACAAGTGCACATCACAGCTACAGACACTGACATTTGAGTTATAAAGATTACAGAGGTCATTATGCAATTTTTATTTTTTTTTTTAAGCTGTGTTTATAAGGGAAAACATTTCAGGTGGCCAGGCTTCAGCATCAGTAGCACTCATTCTGTTTTCCCCCACTTTTGGCTTACATATAATAAATAAATGGTATTTTTTATTTCTCTCAGTTGCATGGGAGATTTGTGGTTTCTTTTCCTATACCCATAACTTGAGAAAGGAAAAAAAAAATGACACCAAGAAGGCATTAATCCAAATATAGTTAGTGTCACATGCTGTCTGACAAATAAAAGCCAAGAATCTACTGCTGAATAGAAATATTCTTCTCTAGAAGAAACAAGGTCATTCTTGTAAATGTCCTGATGTCATTCTCTGCAATATAATTACATGAGCATTTTTCTACTGCTTAAACTAAAATTGTTCTTCGGAGCAAGCCTTTATCTGTCGATTTTCATTCCTTACATAAATTCTGCACAGAATTTCAAGTATGCTGAATGTGACACCAAAATGATTAATAGCTTACCCAACCAATAAAGCCCTAATGAGACAAAACATACAGCACCACCCAGCATAATATGCCACACTTCTCAGGGATGCATTTCCCTAAGAGAATAACACTGAGAGCAGATGCTCTCTTCTAAGCAGTGCTTGGCAAAAGCTGATGCCAAGAAGAAATTGGTGAGATCCTTCTGTAGGAGGGGTGCTGGAACAGGGACTGCTGCTCACTTCCTTGCAGCTGACCAGGGAAGAAGCAAAGCTCCAAATGCATCAAGTATGATGAGATCAGAAGTATTTCTTCTGGCTATTCATACAACAAACAGAAATTACAGAACTACATGTAACTGTTAAGTCCTGTGACCCTACTTTTAAAGGCAGTCTCTAACGACACTTATTGGTGGGCTTATCTTGGTGCCACAGCTCTGAACATCATATGTCCTGGCTTTCAGACAGGGTTTTTATACCCCCTAAATGGCACGAGTACAGACACTGCCATGGAGAGGCATGGTCACCTGGTCTGACCCTTCTCCCTCCCTGTCAGGGATGTGCTTCCAGTTTTTCCAACAAATTCCTTTCTCCATTAGAAATGAACACTCCCAGAAAGAAGCAAGGGAAGACAAATAAATACTGCAGAGCAGTGCCCCCCGCTCCTCCTCCAGACTTCACTGCATTTAGGATCTCAAAAACAAAATCCTTCCTTTTACCTCCTCCCAAACCAGTGGCTAAGAAGGGAAGCAATTGAAGACTAGAGTTCAAAAAATAATAACAATAATAATTAAGTGGGATTTTTATTTATTTATTTTAAATTAAATCACAGAATCACAGAATTGTAGAGGTTGGAAGGGACCTCATCGAGTCCAACCCCCCTGCCAAAGCAGGCTGCACGGGTAGGCATTAAATGAAGTCATTTCAATAGTCTTTCATAATGACACATTCTGAATTCTGCCTAAAGTGTCCCACTTGTCAGGGATTATCATCTACATCACTTGTTCCCAAACTGTAGGATGCACCACATTAATAAACAGTGCTAGGAGATCACAGCTGCAATTATGAGGAGAAGCAAACATGGTCACTCCGTATGTTTGGAGAGATACCCATCAGACTAACACTGCTAGAAAACAGCACTGGGAAATTAGGCAAATAAGGCATAAGCAGGTGAGAAAGGAGCTGCAGAAAAGAAGTGTTGAGAAGGGGCAAAAGTAAATGAGGTCCAACTCAAAAAGACATTTCAAATCAAAAGGCCTACTATACGTAGTCAAATAGTCAAAAGGCCTATTATACATATATTATATGATCCCAAAATGAGAATTCAATCATAAAGATCAGCCCAAAGGATCTTTTCCAGCCCTATATTTCTAATATTTCTTTTTTTCTAAGTGTTAAAAGTGAAAGCAAGCAGCTTCAACTGGCCTAAGAGATAACAGAGAATTCTGAAATTTGACACTGTACACTCGAAATTTTTCATCTTTAACATTTTCTACAAGCTAGAAATTCCAATTCCTCTAATATTTTGTTCAGAACTTCTTGCTCTGCCCACACATCTCCTTGAAGGATAACATTTTTCAAGCTAAGTTCCAAGAAGCTAAATATCTTTTTCAAGGGTATTTCCTCCCCATAGGTTAGCACAAAGACACTTTTTATTAACCACTTGACACTTGAAACCAAGTAAAGATTTCTACAAAATATTTTCAGCCTTAAATATGCCTTATTTTAGAATCATAGAATCCTTAGAATTGGAAGAGACCTCTGAATGCCATATAGCCCAACTCCCCTGCAATGAATTTTGGTCCATCCTCAAATAGAAATTCCCTGCTGAGTGTACCTGAAACTTTGAAGTATGCTTTATCCCAAATCCAGTTCAGCTACTCAGTTAATAGGGGGTTTTTGGTGTCTTTCATTGTGGTTCTTTTTTGAAAGTCAGATTTGTACTTCAATTCTGATTTCATTAACTGTATTAATTGGAAAATTCCATAAAGCTAACAGTCTTAAGCCTCAGTTAAGTGTTTTGTATAGTGGTATTTATTTAATACACGTGAAAAATTAATCAAATCATTCTGCAGCTAAGTATAAATTGTAAATCCAACAGCACAACTAATATTTCTAAGCTGGTCTGTATTTACAAAAATAAAATAATCCTGTTTTGCCAATATTCACTTTTTAAATGTGCAAACTACAATTTGAGTCAATACCCTGCTGTTTATTTTGTTCAGCAATTAGTTCAATTGTAAGTGCACATACTAATGAATTGCACTGCAGCTACAGAGCCTAAGTAGAGCACAAAGCCCTCGCCTTGGCTGAGGAGAGCTCCACTAACAGCTGTTGTAAGAAGAGCTACACAGTACTTTAGACAGCTTATTGAGAGAAAAATGAACTAGGGGACTCAACAGAAAACAGATCTGCTTTGTCTCAGTTTTATCCGGATCATTTGCACAGAATTGTCAGTCTCAATAAATTCACTGTTTTGTCCAGATAACTGAATTTTTTTTTCAGTTGTTCTCAATTGCTATCTATTATCAATTGCTATCTGTTACCAAGAGACTGGGTGATATTAATTACACATTAATTCTGTATAACATTAACAGCACAAGATGCTGTGAGACAGTAAATACACAGCATGTTAAGTGCCGATTACTTACAGCAGAACCAGCCCAGTCTCCCTGAAATCAATACCTACAGCAGTGGAGGTAGGGAAACTGGAGGTGGCTTAAAGCATAAGAACCCTAGAGTTGGAAGCAAAAAACAAGAACATTCAAGATGACCTGAGGCTATCCAATGTGAATCCTCAAAGCAAATTCACCTAATTGCCTTCCCAAAGGCTAAAACTCCGTTTCCTAGTTTTCTTGCTATTACACATAGGTGAGAAGAGGCTATTGCATTACACCCTGTAAATTCACTTGTGCAGGTTGGTGCCAGCATAGGGACCATGGTGTCTCATTTCACATTAGAGAGTCATCAACAAAAGCTTTACCAATTACTCTCCTGATACATATTTGTTTTAAAGTTACCTTACAAATAACTCTGGTCTTCCATATTCTTCAGTTATATTTTCCTTGTGATTTCCTATAATAAATCTCTTTGTGGCACTATTATTGATGCTACAGTAAGCACCTAATGTACGTTGCACACATTTGCTGTACAATGAATCAAAATGTCTTATCTTCCTCCTTTCCCCCTCCATATGTTTTAATCCCCACAAGAATGGGTTTTGGCATGTTGAGAAACTGCAAATCATACTAAGGCAAAATTGCCTCTAGCATCATATTGTAAAGGATCAACGAAAAATGCATTGTGTGAGGGGACAGGGCACACCTGAGGTGTGAAAGGACCACCTGAAGGTCAAAGAATTAAAAAGTTAAATTCCTATACCTATAATAGACTAGAATATCACTACTAGTCTTTTTTAACAATTAATTGTCTTCCTTCGTTTTTCATTACTTAGACAAGCAAACAAAAATAACCATGCAAACCTAAGAGAAATTATGCAGAAATTAAAGGGGCTTTTTTTGGTTTTATTTTGTTTTGCTTGTTTTTTGTTTTGTTTTAAGGCAACCTGCATGCTTTGAATTTCAGGTGTCTGGTTTTCTGCCAAGTCACACCTTATGCAGTCATCTATCCATGTGTGACTATTCAATACTAAGTCCTGCCAACTTCTGCGCACAAGTTTCAGTTACAGTATCAGACAAAAAGTAAAGCTAAGCTTTTAGGGTTGAACACTTTTCCAAGCTGTTTCATACAACAGAATGATAGGATAAATTCAAATTGGAAGGGATCTCTGGAGTTCTCAAGTTGCGAAGTAAAGTTAATTCTGTGGTCAGATCTCACTCAGTGATTTATCCAGTAGGATGCTGAAGACTTCCAAGGATGCAAATGGTATAATCACCATAGTCAGCCTGTTCCAATTTTTTGGTTGTCCTCAGGGTCAAGAAGTTTTTCCTTATCACATATCTAAACCTCTTTTCTTTCAACTTATTTCCATTGTCCCTCATCTTCCTGTCATGCATTGCTGCAAAGTGCCTGGCTCCATCTTCTTGATACCATCCTTCAAGATACGATTTTGTCCAATAATGCCTCTTATCTGCAAATTCTCAACTCTTTCTTCCTCTTAAAACAAATAGAATGTATACTTTTCCACAATAAAAATTACTCTTGAAATACAAATGGTTTTACTGCACAGTAGGCTCAGAACCTCCAGTCTGCAACCAGTAAGCTGCAGAATCCTCCTTCTCCCTCTAAGCACAGCCAAACACCACACATTTCATCTTATCTTATATAATATAATCTTATATTCGTAACTGTAAGAATAATCAAAATAAAACAAGGCAATACACTCTCTATCCATAAATGCAAACCAAAAAATATAGAGGTGTGCCAATGTGGAAGATTCATGGAGACCCTGTAAATTAAGTATTTAAATGATTGTTTTTCTTCAGTACTTTATAGCTGTAATTCTTCATCTTACCTGACATGATTTACCACAGTATTTAGCAACCTTGCATTGAGAGCATCTGTGCAGATGTTCATTCCTGTTAAGAAAAAAAAAAATACTATGAGTAGAGCTCTATATTTATCCTTCTTACATAACTAGCAGTTTTCAAATATTAAAAACAAACAAACAAACAAAAAAAAGTACCTGGAAGGAAATAAAAAAAAAACTATCATGCATTGCAGTCCAAGAAGAAATTATGCATTACGTACAAAGCTGTTTTCACATTTCATTACTCATATGACTTAATATATGTGGGGCCACCCTGAATTAACAGCAGAGATATCAAATGTGACTTTTGTGTGGGTGTGTCATACAGCTATAATCCTAATGAGTTTGGCTTTTTTAGATAAATTACATCTGTATGCTTATTAAATGTCTTGAGCATTCTTTCCAGCATCAGCGCATGTTAAGCAAGACTTGATTTTCAAACTGCAGTTAGGACATCAAATTATAACTTTATTATTATAGAGTCTCAATTTGACAAGTCACAGCAGAGTGGTGCTCAGTAAGACCAAACTGAAAATGCATTTAGAGGTGAAACTATGAAAATCTAATGAAAGCTAGAAGGATAACTTTCAGACATGCACAGCACAATCCAAGGGTAAAAAGTGTCTCCATTATTTTCTGATGCTGTCATAGTTTACATTATCCAAATTAAAAATAAAATATCACTATAGTTTTATAAATTTTCAGACATTAAATGTGAAAACATACACAGAGAACATCTTGCACCTCAAATACATGAATTCAAGAAGAAAGATTTACTCTAGAGCAGTAGAAAGGAGACAAAGATTTTGATGTTCCTCTCCCCTCAGTTTTCTGTAGAAAGTACTACATACAGATCATTACAAAGAAGTAACAGTCTTTGAATAGCTACTGTATGAAAACCACTATTTTGCTGCACAATATTTCATAGGCATTCCTGCTGACTACCAAGACAATCATATCATAGAATCATAGAAAGGCTTGGGTTGGAAGGGACTTCAAAGATCATCGAGCTCCAACCCCCCTGCCACCCTCCACATTCAATACCAGACCAGGCTGCCCAGGGCCCCATCCAACCTGGCTGATACCTCCAGGGATGGGGCATCCACAACCTCTCTGGGCAGTCTGTTCCAGCACCTTACCATTCTCATAGTAAAGAACTTTCCCCTGACATCCAACCTAAATCTTCCCTGCCTCAACTTAAAACCATTTCCCCTTGCCCTGCTATTATCAACCCCAGTAAAAAGTTGACTCCCCTCCTGTTTGTAGGCTCTCTTTAGGTACTGCAAGGCTGCAATGAGATCACCCCACAACCTTCTCTTCTCCAGACTGAACTAGCTCATGTTAAGTTTTTCATCCACCAGGACCCCCAGGTCTTTCTCTGCAGGGCAAATCTCAAGGACTGCTCCTCCCAGTCTGTACATATGCCCGGGCCCAAGAGAAATACAAATTTGAAGTATTTCAGATACAAGCACATGTTCTGCTATTGCCTACCATGCTAAGCAGCATGTTCCATCAAGACATGAAAGACTCATTTTTAATAAATGACCCACAAATTCTTTCTAGATGTTTTGCAATTAACAGCACAGATGAACACTTTGCTGAAGCTAGAAATTTCGAATTACTGAAAGATGACACGACAAGAATTTCAACTTCTTTACTCGTCGCTTTGTTCTTCCTGTAAGTCTGCCAGTGAACTTTTCACAACACATTAATCATAGGCAATGCTATCACCAAAAAATCTGCCTACCAAACTGTGAAATAAAAATGAAAGAAAAAGAGATAGAGCTCTGGTAGCTCTGGTATGCTGCTTAGCTGTTCACCTGCACAGTTGTAATCCTTAAGTTTGCCACACTGAAGTGTGCCCGTGCTCTTTGCCATAGTTCTGCTCTATTCAGCTTCACAGAATCACAGACAACATGAGGGATCTTTCAGCCTTTTCCAGAAAACTTCTTTAGTTCCACCATTCTACATCTAGCGGACTCCATCAAACTTTCCTTTATCACCTCTTCCTGTAGAATGACTCAGTAAAACATTTTCAAAACTAGACTTTTCTTTTTGTTCTAAATGCTATCCACCTAAACAAAATGAGTTAGGGCTTGGCTAATACAGCATTAGCAATTTCAGTGACATGCACATTAAAGTACCAAAAAGGCCAAGCATCAGCATGCAGAAGGCAGATTCTCAAAGCAGAGTCATTATAACTTTCTAGAGACAGATTTTAAAGGAATGGATGCCCATAAGTACTGGAGAACTGTCTCGTACAGATTCCACATCCTTCCATCAGTCTAGATCTGACAACCTCAATAAACTACAAGCACACCTTGCCACAGTCTGTTTTTTCCAAAAGATGCCATGATTTACTGTAACCACTGACGAAGTCACCAACACTGTCTTATTCATTTTGTAAAATAGAAAAAAAGAAATGGACCTTGCACCACAAAACACCAAGCTTCTTCTGCACCCTCTGAAGTTTCAGTACTTCACAGGATTAGATTCCTTGCATCTTTCAGCACAAAGGGTTAACAATGCTGCAATAACAAACAAATATACACAGAAATCTAAGGACTATCACTCTAAATCTGTTGGTTTTTTTTCCCAGACTGACACTACCAGTCAGATTACTTGAATAAGTTGATCTTTGCTGGCACTGTATAATAAATCAACAATCCATTCATCTTTTGGGGTTCCTCTGAGTGACAAGTAGATGTAGGACACCACTTACAGACCTGAACAGCACAGCAACTGATGAAACGATTGTTTTTAATTCCAGTCTTCCCCTTCCTGGATGAAAAGAAATTCCTTTAGACTTATAGCATCCATGAATCTTGCAACATGGCATTTTAAATGTAAAAAAAAGCATGATTCAACACACTTACTCTGAATATAAAGAATTCAAAAATAAGATTCATGTATTCGTGTATATATGACTGATGCATTTTAGGATATTTTTAAAAAATGAGACTATTTGCCTATTTTATTCCAGTCCTGCATATTTTATTAACATTACAGAGTACTGAAACAAAGTCACTGTCAAATGCAGTATCTACTGCATTCCACCCAGTGTGACCCACCTGAGACACAGACTGCAAAGGCTGCCCAGGCAGTGCCAGCACAGTGGGTGCTACCAGCACCACACCCGCACCCTTACAATATGCAAAACCTTGCCCTTCTGAAAGCATCAGATGAGCAGTTAATAAGTACAATCCAACAACAACAACCCAGTGAATGAAAGCACTTTTGTTTGCTGGGGAAGAGCCTAATACAATTATAAAACACAACGAAACCCAAGCAAACACAATTAGGTTACTTAATTTATAATGGAAATGCATCCACACTTCTCTGGTGATTGCAGGCACTTGACTTTCAGCCACTGCTCACCAGATGAGCACAAGATGTAACACAGTATTTGATTACCAGGCTGTGCTCACCTCTCCTTGATGTACAGTTTATTCACACTTCTGATGCTGCCACAGATTGCAGGATGAAAGGGCAACCTCACATGAATTCCCTACTGCATTTTTGTAGTTGATACTGCTTTTCAGTTAATAATCCAGCTCTATAATACGTGTCATAGAAGAGGTGCTCTTTCACATGCACATCATGTAGAACTAATTTCCTGAACAAATTCTTAGGCCTTTTATTCAGTCGAACACATCAAGTGCATGATGCTTACTTGGATTTCTCTGAGTGCGTGCATATCGGACACATCACAGAGTGAAAGAAATCAATACCCACAGCAAGCAAACATGCCATTCATCATTTTGCTAACACAGTTTAGTCTTCCAATAATAAAAGTAAAGATGCTTACAACAAACTGCATTTTTAACTTGGTTGATCTGTGAGCAGTGGGTTACATGTGGTGCAGTGACCACCTTTCTTCCCACCTCCCAGCAGATGGAGAGCACCACATAGCAGCAGAGCTGCTCACGTATGTGGGCACTAGCAATGCTGGAGGGCATCTGCAGCACACCAAAAGTGACAGCACAGCTGTGGGGATAAAGGCAAAGGGTACCACAGGAGGACTTGTGCAGGGGATAACATGCCCAGGGCCTGCCAAGCTTCTGCACATCCCAAATCCAAGTCCTTGGCAAGTAACAAGAGCACCTACCCAAGGCCCAGACACCAGTATCACATGGCTCAAGCTACTCCAGAGCAGCTTCCCTTCCTCTTCTCCCCTGGCCCCAGACGTCCTCTGCCATTACAGGCAGGTTGGCAGGCAAGGAGCTGTTAGTTCCCCTGCCATCTGGTCGTCTCCATACACAGGTGTAGGGTCCCACTTCTTGTGTATGCCCTTGAGCATACACAAGAACGATGTGTAAGAAGTGTTGGAAATCCATGTTCCACAAAGTCATACAAAAATGCCCCATATTTTCCACTTGCATGCTTTACTGTGTTGAGAAAGCATATGAATTATTTTTCTAACTTAAGAGTAGCACTTGAGAGAAGTGGCATTTCAAGGGGTAGTTAGAACGTCCAAAATTTAGAATTAAAAGGCAGTAACCACAGCTAACCATTAGACTGACTTATTCAAGTGAAAACTAAGAGAGATTTTATATATGAGAAAAAAAAATATTTCCAAATACAAGCATAATCTCCTTTACAGCTGAAAACACTTCAGAAGTGGTACTGCATTGCTCAGGAAAGAAAGAAAACTTGCAGCAAAAGTTCAGACATTTGTGCTCTCACGTGAAACACCCAGTAACACAAAAGTACAGTTTGTTTAGCATACCAAATAAACCTCCCACAGCTTTAGTTTTGGCTTCTGAAATCTCATGTGTCATCCCAAATGCTGCAATTTGCAGAAATTCTTGTTACATTCCACCTTGTATTTAACACCTCAAAATGTTTCTGGATCGTTCTGCAAGCAAAAACCAGAATTCAGACAGATGAAGGAAGAGAGGATCCTTCAGCTTAGAATGAGCCTCAGTTCTGTTCAGATCTTAGCAACTGTCATCTTTACATGTGTACTACCTTCTTTTTTTGTTTAAAAATATACAGTAAGTAGGGGATAAATGTGCCATGTCATATTACTTCAGCTAACTGGGAGTT